TATCTTTGAAGGTGCTAGGTGATACCTCTTTTTTTGTTTGTTTGTTTGGTTTTGTTTTTCTTTTTCTTTTTAACATCACTTTTTGGGGGCTCGTACAACTCTTATCACAATCCATCCATACATCCATTGTGTCAAGCACATTTGTATGTTTGTTGTTTTAATTTAGATTTCTCTTATGGCTAATGATTGGGAACATTTTCACATATGTTTATTGGCCCTTCGGCCCTTCTGAAACTTTTGTTCAGGTCCTTTGCCTACCTCCTCAGTGGTCAATTAGTTTTGTTCTTCTTTGGAAGCTAGCGGAGATGTTAATGATAAGACCTTTGTCTGATTTTAATGATAAGGCCTTTGTCTGATGTGTCATTTCTAAAGATGTTTTCCCAGTCTGTGGGCTCTCTGATTACTCTCTTGGTGAAGTCTTTCCATGTACACAGGTATCTTATCTTCAGTATATTCCACTTGTCAATTTGTGACTCATCTGTGTTTGTGTCCTTCCCTATTTCTGATAGATAGCCTATGTATTCGCTGCGTCAAAGTTCTCAGGTTTGTCCTTACTCCCTCATTGATGGCCCTAATAGTTTGGGATTTTACCTCGAGGTCTGTGATCCACCTTGAGCTTATTCTCGTGCATGGAGTGACATAAGGGTCTTGCTTCATTTTTCTGCAGGTAGAGATCTATCTTTTCTAGCACAATTTGTTGAAGAAGACATCTGCTTCCCATTGGATATTTTGGGGGCCCTTATCAAAGATCAGTTGTCTGTATGGTGATGATTTTATTTCTGGGTTTTCAGTTCTTTTCCATTGGTCTGAGTATCTGTCATTATACTAATACCACGTGGTTTTTACCACTGTGGCTGTGTAGTATGTGCTAAGTCAGGTAAAGAAAGCCCTACCACCCTGTCCTTCTTCTTGAGGAGTTCTTTGCTAATTCTGGGCTGGAAATGAATCTTTTATGTAACTGATTATGACCTTATGTCTTATTTTTTCAAATGGAAAACACACAACAACAACAACAATGCATGGAGTGCATTCCCCTTTATGAATGGAAACACAACTGGAGAAAATGAGGAAGGGCACATCAGACTTAGACTCGGTCATTGAAATTGTGTTTAGTTCCTTGG